TTCCAGCCACTCTTCCCCAAGCCTGTAGCATTGCATGGGGCATTTAACTGCTATTTTGCAATTTACACTTATTAGAAGACTTGTCCCAGCAATAGAAATGGTGACTGTATAATGGAGAATTTTAAAAAATACACAAAGTGAGCTAGAAAAATAAAAGATTTTGTGTTTTCATGTTGTATTTCCTTTAGAAAACAAATGGAGGAGAAAAATGTGAAAATTCCACTTGGCACGAGAATGGCACCTTTCTGTAGGAATTGACTCGTTCCTTCATATAAATTGTTTCCAAGTACCTCCTTTAAACAGTATACCTGAAATATAAGTTTCTTTCCTTTCCAGCTGCCACTTTTGAGTTTGGCACGTGTGACATATCAGATCACATAGTCATGAACACAGCTGTGTGCATCTCAAGGGAGGCTTTCTGAAGCAAACCCCTGTTCTTGCATCCTTCAAGCTTAGGTTTTCTGAGTGTTTCTAGATGGTGTCTTACTGATTTTATTGTTGAGACTAAATTTGCTTTCTATTTTATCTCAGTATCCCCATAGTTAAGAATAACAGCAGACGCATCTGTCTAATCCCATATTTGATTACTACAGTGCTCTCTCTAGCAAGGACTGACTATTGCTTGACTTAGTTTACTAATTTAGACAGAATTTACTGGCCTTTCCTTTATATGTCTAGAGATCAAGAGAATACTGTCACTTCTCATTTTTTTTATGTAGAAGATAAGTATTAATATATTTTTTTTAATTTTTCCCTTCCCTCTTCCTGAGTTTTATTTTATCATATTTGTATACATTTGTGTTGCAGAGTTTCTAGTATTGTTTTTTCTTCTTGATCATTGTTCCCAGGTACAATAGCCTAACATTTGGTAATCAAATAAAAGCAGATGTCTATTTAAAGGATCTGCACATTCATGTTATCTTAAGGCAGAGTAGTACTCATTTTACTATCATGTGCCACAACAAAGCAAGTAAAACTTTCGAGATTAAGGTGAGATGGGTGTGTTACATGACTTGCTGTTCAGAGAACAACAAAATAGGGATTTCAGACAGTATTTTAGGCTGTCCTACAACAAACAGATTGGTTTGTCTCTAGCAAATCTTATTTCTCCAGACTGTTCTTGAAAGCACCTGATGAAAGTAGTGGTGGAATTTAATTATTCTAAATATTATAAGCTATTACATACCTTAATTATTCTTATGATTAACACTTGAACTGTCTCCTTCTGCCCACATCTAATCTGCAAATTAAAAAAAAAAATCTAATATTCCCCCCCCCCCCCCCCCAACCACCACGACATCTTCACTTTTCAAAAAAAAAAAAAAAATTCAATTCCCCCCCACCCCCCCCCAAGATCAGTAGCAATTATTGCCCTTTTGTATAATGTCAGTTCCAGTCTTAGTATTGTGTGGCAAAAAGCACTGAGCCCAGGCCAATGCGGAAGCATTTTAACATTCAGAGAAGTCTAGAACCTGTTCTACCTTGTTGCTGGTGTTGTACTAGTCATGTAGATATTTATCCTTTTGTGACTGCTTGATCAAAAAAACCATTTAAACACTCCAGCCTTCTCAGCATTACTTGCTGGGGGCTTTCCTCTCCTGCTAAGGAACAGAGAAGCTGCTTGGAGGCAGAGGGAAAAGGGGGTGGATGAACTTCCTGTTGCTGCTGGTGTGTTCATGGAAATATTTCATATTTCTTCTGGCTCTTGCCAGTCAAAGCATGAAGTATTACATGTTTCTCACTTTTGTACCTACACAGATGCATTCTTTCTTTCTACTCCTGCTTAATAATTTGGCCTGATACCCATTTTCTGTCCTCTTGTCAGTTGCTGGTATAGGTAGTGGTACACAAAAGAAAGCAACACTGATTTTGTTATTACTTTGGATTTTCCTTTTTCTTGGCTTATAAAACCTGAATTGATTTGGGATCACCTTGTTACCTGAGTGATTGTATTGGTTTTTTCCCCTTGCAGTACTGCCAGAGTAGGAGTAAAGAGATTTTCTTCTGTTGAGATATTTAAAGTACTCGCAAGTGTTGATTGGTATCCCTAGCAGCATTTCCTTTTTTTTTTTTTTTTTTTTTTTTTTTTTTTTCTTACTTCAGCTGGTAGAACAAGCTGAGGTGGAATTTCTTTTGCTGTTTTGGAAAACAGTACTGTGTATTTATTGACTTCAGATAAATGTCTGATTTGCCATGTGCAGGCATGCGTATTGCTGTGGCTAGTTGTCTAAGGCTCGTAGTTTGTTTCCATGTGTGAATGTGATTATGTGTCATGTTTGCAAGACAGTATTACATCTTCAAAACTATTTAGTAACAAAGAGTTACTTATTTAGCATCATAAGGTGTTTGAAAAGGTCACCTAATAAATTACTTTAATGAAATATAACTAAATGGTAATTTCTAAGATATATCAGTTGAATGAAAAGAATAGTTTAGAATATAATAAATCCTGATGAGGAAATAGTTGGCCTTTTTCTCTAAATGATTTTGTATAAATTCTTATTGTTTGAATAGTGCTGTTTGTCTTATTCTGTTTGCAGATATGGATTATATAGTTCGCCTTTTGATCCAGTTCTGTTTGATTTGGAAATAAGTGGCTCTTCTTGTAAAAATGTGTACAACAGCAGCATTGGAGTACAATCAGATGAAATTGATTTGTCTGATGTTCTATCAGGTACGTATGTTTAACAGTAATCTATTGTGGAAGAATTGGGAATTATTATACTGTTTTCCTTTAGTGAAGATGTGGTTCTATAGTTTCCATCTGTTCTATAGCTGTACATAAAGAAGTTCAAGATATTCTCTTGCTTTGTGAGATCTCTTACATTTCTGTAGCCCGTAGGGCAAGAAAAAAGCCTCTTTCTGGAATCTGTTCTTTTTGTATCCTGTAGAAGATCTAAGAAAAGGCTAGAGATTAAACAGAAAGGCTGCTATCATTCCCTGGGTCAGAGTCATCTAGGAAGCATCTGTCACTTCTATTGAGATATTGTTATTATTCATTTAGACTAGCAACCATCTCATAGGCAGAGAAACCTAAATGGATTTTTCTGAAGTTGGGAAGCTGCCATATGGCACTCTTCTACTTAAATATTACAGATTTAATGAGATATTTTTTCTGTTTCAGAGGCATTAAAATACCTTAAAAGCATATTTGTATCTGTCCTCTCAGGGTAGTTCATAAGTGAATCTTTAGGCCATAGAATGTCTTAAGAATGACATAATTTTTACCTGTCGGGAAATTCTTTTCATAGCAAGCATGTTCATCAGTGATAGTGACTCCTTTTCTTTTCTTCTACACTCTTGTCCATCTCCTTCCCATCCCTCTCTCCATACAACACTGTGAATTTGTTAGTGTGTTGAATAACAGTCTAGTTTTTACACTACCTTGGTGTATGATCTTAGTCGGTCTGTTAATTTCTTTCTCTTCCTGTCCAGTAACATCAACGTATTTTTGCAAGCTAATTTTCTTACAGTGTAGAAAGAATAGAGCATCCATGTATAATTTATTTCTGGCATTAAGAAGGTTACTCTATGCTTCTGCTGTCACATTTGATAGTTTGACTTACTGAGGTACTCTGTTCGGATTTGGCAGCATTATCCATTTTAAAATATACTTCCATTTATATTGTGGATGTGATAGTCTTCAGGTGGTTGTTCCACAATGTGAAGTAATATAATATGTGGATTATATTTAGTTGTCCCTTTCAACTCTTCATGACTTGAAATGTCACTATCAAGAAAACATTAGCTGATTGTGCAGATATTTCTTTTTCAGGAAATGGGAAAATAAGTAGCTGTGCAGCTGCTGAAGGTAGTTTTACTTCCCTTACTGGACTTCTGGAAGTTGAACCTCTGCACTTTACCTGTGTTTCAACAAGTGATGGAACTAGAATAGAAAGGGACGATGCAAGTACGTTTACTGGTATATACAATTTTTCATTTTTTTCTGCTTAGCATAGTTCCACAGTATGATATTTTTGTTCGGACATAATGAGTACTGTTTGGCAAACAGATTGCCTGTAGTTTTATAAGTGTTGCAGTGTTGTGGGGTGTTGTTTTTTTTTTTTAAATAGTTACTATATGTGAAGTTAAACTTCCTAGAGCTTAACAAACAAACTGGATTCCAAATTTTTTAATTTGAATCAATTTGTTTCTATTGGAGTGTATAATATACAAGCTTGTGTCAATTACCTTGCAGCCTTATGTGGTGAAAGAATTCCAGGGCATTAGGTGGCTCTTCTGTAATGAAAATGTTGCATGTATGATGAGTATGGATAGTCTAGAAACCATATACTTTGCAGTTCAAGATTATGTTACTTTGTAGCATGAATTGGATAAAAGGAGATATTTCTCTTGTTTTTACATTGCTCTTAACAACTAGTAAGGAATTAAATTAAAGGTGTGTTTTATAATTTCTTTTCTACATTCATGTTTTTGTTTGTTTGTCTTTTTGTTTGTTTGTTTCATGCCAGTGAGTACCTTTGGGGTTACCCCAGCAGTTGGTGGCCTCTCTTCTGGGACGGTTGGGGAAGCCTCGACAGCACTGAGTTCAGCAGCCCAGGTAGCTTTGCAGTCTCTCTCTCATGCAATGGCCTCAGCCGAGCAACAGCTCCAGGTGCTGCAAGAGAAACAGCAGCAGCTTTTGAAGCTTCAGCAACAGGTTGGAGGCTATTTGGCTATTTTTTAATGCTGTCTCTAAACTTCAAAAGCTGAGAAAGTAGTTGCAGAGCTAGTCACCTTTTTTTTTTCTTTTTTTTCCTTTTGTCCTTTTTTTTCTCTGTAGTGTATTTGAGGAAGGAACAGCTCTGCACTGAGGATCACTCTCAATAAGCAAAACGCTGAGAGTGTCTCCCATGCTGCTTTGGTCTTTCAGACTTTATTTTTTTGTGTATTTTGAGGGCGGGTTGGGAGTTTGTAGTCAAAACTAAGTCCGTCCTAATACATAAGTATATCAGTCTGAAATTGAAAAAGCCCACTGAAATGAAAAGCATGATTGCCGACACAGGGAAGTACCAGTCATAAAGCCATTGTCAGTATGAAGCTTGGCTGTGTTGAGTCTACTTCGCTGTTCAGTTGTAGGTTTTTTAATTGTTTTTTGATTACTCCAATTAATTACTCTAATTACTCAGGTTCGTCAGCCAGTGAGGTCAAATTGAATAGTTTAATTTTTCAGCTTATAGCTGGACATCTAACATGCCAGTGTTGAAGGTAGCTTGGATTTATTAAATCTAGTTTTATAATGGAAGTTGAACTTGTAGTTCAATACTGCTACTGTGTTTACAGGTGGTATTATCGGCTACATACACTGCTTTCATTTTCCCTGCAGAAAGCTAAGCTGGAAGCAAAACTGCATCAGACAACAGCAGCGGCGGCAGCAGCAGCAGCATCAGCAGTTGGTCCTGTTCACAACTCTGTGCCTTCGAATCCAGTAGCAGCCCCAGGGTTCTTCATCCATCCTTCAGATGTCATTCCACCCACACCAAAAACAACTCCTCTGTTCATGACTCCACCTTTGACTCCACCTAATGAGGCAGTTTCTGCTGTTATTAATGCAGAGCTTGCTCAGCTTTTCCCTGGTTCAGTCATTGATCCCCCAACAGTTAACCTTGCAGCACATAACAAAAATACAAGCAAGTCTAGAACGGTAATTATTTTTGTTCGCTTTTCTTATAGAAACAAGATGGTGTAAGCCTTATCAGGATCTAATTTGTACTTGAGTGCTAGTATATATCTGTTTATTTGGATGAGATGTGAAAACTATATCACTGAATTTAGACCATATGAAAAGGAAGACTTATGAAAGCAAGGTAGAGTTGCTATAATACCTCAAATGGTTTCTTTTAGTTGGAGGTAGCTTAACTGTATAAGGAGTTATTAATCCTTTGAACTTAGTAGTTAATATATTTTGATGGTTCACGCTCAAATCTAAATGTAGTGAGGTGGTGTCAAAATTGTACATCTTTAAATCACAAGAGGTTTTCTTACAGTCTTTTGTGAAGAACAGCTTATTATAAATGCATAGATTTTAATGACTTAATTTTACTAATGTTTTCCCACTCCTCAGAATCCACTTGGATCCGGTCTTGCTATTGCAATATCTCACGCTTCACATTTTCTTCAACCTCCACCTCATCAGTCAATTATTATAGAGCGAATGCACTCAGGTAAAAACAGAATTCCTAATAATAATTTTGACACATATTCTAATAAGACCCTGGAAAATATTCTGCTTCTTAAGTTGCTTAGCTGCAGTCTCACTTGGCTTTCCAAAGAAAATATATTTCTCAGTTTGCATTTCTTGTTGTATCTGGAAGTTTAAGACCCAGGATTCAGTGATGTTTATCAAGCTGAAAAATCCTGGGAGCTGGGGGAGTATGTTGGGTCTCTGGACAGAGCTCCTGTTCTGAAATAATGCATAAAAAGCATAGCATCTTAAATTAAGTTGAAGTCAAAATTTTCTTTTCAAAGGGTACAAGCTGTAGCAAGAGGTTGTGCAGTTATTTTTAACCTCAAATATAGACTTTTTGAACAATATATAAACAATGGCTTTATTGTTTGAGAAGTAACAACTCTTTGCTGGTTAGCACATACTGGTATTTTAGGCAATCCTGTGTTTTTCCCCTAGGAGCAAGAAGATTCGTGACCTTAGATTTTGGAAGACCTGTATTGCTGACGGATGTATTGATTCCTACTTGTGGAGATTTGGCTTCTTTGTCAATTGACATCTGGACTTTAGGAGAAGAAGTGGATGGAAGGCGACTGGTAGTGGCTACTGACATTAGCACACATTCACTTATTTTACATGACTTGTTGCCACCCCCAGTTTGCAGGTTTATGAAGGTAAAAGGAGATAGACTGCATACTCTATCTTTTCAACTCTTGATCTTTGTTAGTATGTGATCTTTCTCTTAAATTCTCTTCAGACCAAACTTTAGTTGGCTATAATTTTTTTATGAATTTTTGACTTGGTGTTTATTTTGCCCGTTTTGATACAATTGTGTTACAGTGTAGTTGCGTTCTCTTTCAGATCACTGTTATTGGTCGATATGGTAGCACAAATGCCAGAGCAAAAATCCCATTAGGATTTTATTATGGCCATACCTATATCTTACCCTTTGAAAATGAGCTGAAACTAATGCACGATCCCCTCAGAGGAGAAGGTGAAGCTGCAAATCAGCCAGAAATTGACCAACATTTGGCAATGATGGTTGCGTTGCAAGAAGACATACAATGCAGGTTAGAAGAAAAAAAATATGTGTACTTACTAGTTATTTTAACTTAAAACACTGGGATATCATAATGTTATAGACTTTTCTTTTTCCTTCACATGATACTCTTCAGACCAAAGAAAACTCTGCCTTTGTTATAGAGTTGTTACAGCGAATGTCATTATAGCAGTAACAAAGACTACACTGTATTTTTTCCAATATCTGTTTTAACAGTGCATTCAAAATGGACCAGAAGTCAACTTCTGGCAGGGTGACTGTCAGATGTATTGCCGTTTGCTAATGTCTATTGAATTGTGTGTTGGAATGTTTCCCTTTAGGTACAATTTGGCCTGTCATCGGTTAGAAATCCTTCTGCAGAGTATTGACCTGCCACCACTCAATAGTGCTAACAATGCTCAGTACTTTTTACGAAAGCCAGACAAGGCAGTAGAAGAAGATAGCAGAGTATTTTCTGCTTACCAGGACTGCATTCAGCTACAGCTTCAACTCAACTTGGCTCACCATGCTGTTCAGAGGCTCAAAGTAGCTTTAGGTGCAAGCAGGAAAACACTGAAGGAGCAGTCTGATCCAAAAGAGTTGATTCAGATGTCATCCACAGAACAGTTACGCACCATCATTAGATACTTACTGGATACTTTGCTTAGTTTGCTTCATTCTTCCAATGGTTAGTATTTTTTTGAGATTTTGATATTTTTGTCATGTTAATAGAAAAAATTTGCAAGTGTTTCTATTTCTTGATCTGTACTTTCCCACTCTAAAGCTTTTAAACTATGTTCAGATATGTTTTACTGTCATTTTAGTAGCTGGTAGCATACAGTGTAAAGTTTCACTAGTGGCATCAAGCTGACATAACCATTTCCTGCCCCCAGAATGGATAAGAGAGGGTGTCGAGGTCCTTCTCCCTTTTCTGTAGTCCTGGCTACATATTCCTTTGTTCAGATACTCATCTGATCCTTCTGTGGGCTGATTCAGTTTACTGGAGTAACAGAAGACTGCCCAGGCAGAATACTTGTGGTGTTTTCGTAGGTAGAATCAGCTTGTGGAAGTATCTGTGAGCATGGAAGCCTGTGCAACACTGGGGATGAATTAGGCAGTTAAAAGTGGGGAGGGGAAGCACAGATTGCTTTGGGGGTGGGGGGAAGTTGTAAAACCAGTGTCTCAGTTCATGTTTTTTAATATCCAGTAAGGATTTTTATTTCCTAAACTTGCCACTGAAAAAGTTCTTGGAGAATCAATATTGAAAAGTCTGAGTAGGAGTGGTGGTTTTTTGTTTGTTTTTTTTTTTTTTAAAAAAAAAAAAGGCAGAACATTGGATAGATAGGTATGTCTGTCCTGTAATTTTCTGTGCCAGTTTGTTCCTAAGCATAATGATGGTTTGGTTTTTGCTTTGTGTAGATTCCATGGGAGTATTTGCACTGACATGAAATTTATTTGGTTTTGACCAAATGGCCTGGTCTTCATGGGTTACCTGCAAATTACCATCTCCCCATGTGTTCCCTCCTCCTTCCTCCCTGTGCCAAGTAGTCTAATCATAGTAGTTTTAAAACTTCCTGCAAACTTTTTCCTCCTATGTTTTCGAACCACTGTCTCCTTAAACATAGTTGCTTGTTCTCTTTTCTTAAAAGGGCACTCTGTTCCTGTGGTTCTGCAAAGTACTTTTCATGCTCAAGCTTGTGAAGAATTATTTAAACACCTTTGTATCAGTGGAACCCCAAAGATACGATTGCATACTGGCCTTCTGCTTGTTCAGCTCTGTGGAGGAGAAAGATGGTGGGGTCAGTTTCTTTCAAACGTACTGCAGGAGTTATACAATTCAGAGCAACTTCTCATATTCCCACAAGACAGGTAAGGTATAAGTCTATATTGATACATTACCTGTGGATCGCTTAAATAATTCTATTGTTCATAACTTAACGTTGGAACTGACAAAATGTGACTGAAGGATACTTATCCATGTATTTCACTGATTTAAGAAATAGTCCCAAAAAAGCACTGCAAATGATGTCTGATTGCAGTTATTTATTGCACCTGTTTGGTGCTTGCACCACAGTAAGTTGCTACTTTTCCTTACTTGGAGATCTTCACATACCTGGCAGGATTGCTCCCCAGTGTCAAAAAGTGCCTTCTCCTTTATCAGGCTTAAATGCACCCTCATCATAGAGCTGCTCTTCTGATGCATTTGGAAGGAGGACTGAGACTGGAAAGCACACTACTAGCATTTAATACAAAAGATTTCTGTGAGATAAGAGAAAACAAGCATGGAGTTGAGCATTGAATGTTAGATGTGTAGATTATTGCAGATTATTGACTGAGGTCTTTGATATTCTAAACATTAGCATTTTATTTTAATCGAACATATGTGCTGTTCTGTGGCTTTCTGCCTTCTTTGGACAGCAACATTTATGTTTTCATAATTTTTTAAAATTAATTAATTCAGGGATATAAGAATACATGGATTTAACTCTCTATCCCTGCTATTCAGTGTGTCATATGTAATAGGAAATAAAAGAGATGAGATCTTGTTTCAGGTGTACGAAGTGGGATGCTCTACTGACCTCGTGAGAGTGAAAGAGGAAATGTTCACCCTAAAATACTGCATTATCATTACAACAGTAGAATGTGGAATCCAGTTCACTTGCTGGGCCACAGTACTGCTTTCTGTAGCAACCTGCTTGCATCTCAGATGAAAGCCCAGGGGAATATTGTTCTGTAAGGGGTGTTTCAGAATATTACTGGATCTGAAAAAGAAATAAAATCTTAAATATGTAAATTTTATTTTTAGGGTCTTCATGTTGCTTTCTTGCATTGGCCAAAGATCGCTTAGCAACAGTGGTGTTTTAGAAAGTTTACTTAATCTCCTGGATAACCTGCTGTCACCACTGCAACCTCATTTACCTGTGCACAGAAGAACTGAAGGTAGCCCTCTAATTTGGGAAACTATATATTCATATTCATTATAAGCTAGAAAATTGAGAGACTAGCTCACAATTTTTGGTGTATTAAAAGAAGAAATTGCTCGTTTGCTGTATTTGCAAAACACAGTTGTCTTTTAAAATGTGCTGACACTTCTTGTTCTTTAGGTGTTAAAAGATTCCTCCCCTCACCTCCCCATTTAAACTTGAGCAAAATCTATTTGGTTGCTTTTAATTCGGCTAGGAAGCTTTAAAGTTTTAACAAAGTGAGGGGAACATCCAGTCTGTAGGCAGCTCTAGTGAATCACTTTGGAATTTAGCATTTTGGAAGGAAGTGCTCCTTTTTGCTCATGAGATTCTTTCTAAGTTTCAAACTTTTCATAGAATCATAGAATCGTTTAAGTTGGAAAAGACCTTTAAGATCATCCAGTCCAACCATTAACCTACACTACCATGTCCACACTAAACCAATCCAGGGTAGACTAGACTAAACCATGTCCCGAAAGTGCCACATCTACCCGTTTTTTGAACACTTCCAGGGATGGTGACTCCACCACCTCTGTAGGCAGCCTGTTCCAATGCTTGACTACCCTTTCCGTGAAGAAATTGTTCCTAATTTCCAACCTAAACCTCCCCTGGCGCAGCTTGAGCCCATTTCCTCTATCGCTAGCTACCTGGGAGAAGAGACCAACACCCACCTCACTACAACTTCCTTTCAGGTAGCTGTAGAGAGCAATAAGGTCTCCCCTCAGCCTTCTCTTCTCCAGACTAAACAACCCCAGTTCCCTCAGCCGCTCCTCATAAGGCCTGTGCTCCAGACCCTTCACCAGCTTCCTTGCCCTTCTCTGGACACGCTCCAGCACCTCAATGTCTTTCTTGTATTGAGGGGCCCAAAACTGGACACAGTATTCGAGGTGCGGCCTCACCAGCGCCAAGTACAGGGGGACAATCACCTCCCTGCTCCTGCTGGCCACACTATTCCTGATACAAGCCAGGATGCTGTTGGCCTTCTTGGCCACCTGGGCACACTGCTGGCTCATGTTCATTTTCAGGTGAAGTGCGGTTACGAAGACAAGTTTGTTAGGTCTATCTGCATGGTTTCTGCAAACTACATGGGGGTTTTTTGAAATTACAAGGAATTTACATTTTTTGACCCTAAAAAAATTATTGAAATTATTTTCTCCAAACTTGATTTTCTTTGAATGTTTTCTTAACTACCCTAAGTTTGAAGAAAGGGCTTGCTTTTGAAAACATGAAACTCTAGGCTACTTCATTTGTTACGTACGTATAGCAGAGCATTGTAGAAGATAAGTTGTTTAAAATTCTTAGCATTGTGAAGTTGATAAATGCCAGCTGAGACTCTGTCCTTACTTTTTGCCTTGTCTTCTGATGTAAACAAGCCTACAGCTGGTGTCAGAAGCTGTCCTATCACTTCCCATTGGTCTACTGTGTGCTTTCTCTATCATGGCCATATCCTGCTGTAGTCTCTAACTAGTTTGAGGCAAACCCACGCTTACATCTCCTCTACCTCTGTTTGCACTCTCCCCACAGCTGCCAATTCCTTTCATAGCTCTTGCCTTACTAGTTGTCCTCACGGAGGACTTTAGGAAGCAGAAGTAACTGATACTTCAGAGCTTTATTTGCTGGTCTTCCAGCTTCCTTCCTCCTGGACAGTACAGGTGAGTACTAGGGCATTATTATGTGTGGTGGAACCATCAGGTATGGCAGAAGACATTCCTATTTGAGAACTATCACACATAACTAAGGGTCAAAGGGGTGAAAACTTACTAGGGAAAAAGTCAGAAAACAAACGACAATCAGAGCAAGAGGTGAATGTTGTGGATAGAGAGAAGTTGTAAACTTTGAAGCAGAGGGGGAAAAAAAGGAGTAAGCAAAAGACACTTGGAGGGAGGGAGAGAAGCTGAAAATTTTGATTTTTTTTTTTTTTTTTTAAAAAGAGATAAAAGGAAAAGAAATGCACTTGTTTAAACAGAAGTATGAAAAAGTATATACTTCACTCTACAGCAGGCTCCTTTCTTTCTATTCTACCAACCAAAAAGGTGTGTAGCAGTCACCAGTGCTACTCATTTCTATTCTTGCAATTTAGTCTGCAGTTCCTGTTCAGGTCCTGTTATGGGGAGGCCTCCTGTCTCTCTGCCTGCTTGGGGTGGGCTGCTTTCTGCCAGTGTGGACAGGAAACTGGAGCTAACAGTCAGTGCCTGCATCCTGTTGCTTGGGCTGCCAGCAGCTACATGTGATTTTGCACAAGTCATATCTGTGCATTAGTTTTCTTCTTTGACATGGAATTAATAATAGTTTGAGTTAATTAAAGCTCTTGAGGTCAGCGCATGAAAAATGTAGCGTAGTTATATGTGGCTCAGCACAGTGCACAGGTAGGAAAATGTGCGTGTAACCTCTAGTACTAATGACTTTGCTGTATTGATATTATGTAAAATCATTTGCATGATGAGTGTGATTAAGTGGTCATTAATTGTAGGCTTCTGGTCTTTATTGAGCACACAGGAGTTCACTTCAGAACTGTTCATTTAGATTTGCTCATGCATACAAAGATTTTTCTTGCATGATGTGTAAGATACATTTCTGCCTGTACAAAAATACTGCATTTAATGTGTGAGACTGAAATAGGCAGTGGCCAGTCATTAGTGCCACCAGCATGGTTCATCTAGTCTGAACCCATTCTTGGCTTTCCTGCATCTTATTCAAATGGCTACGTGAAAATACACTAACAAAGGAGTAAAAACGAAGGTATTCAGGTGCACAGTTATAACTGTCTTGTTGGAGCCCTGGTTGATGGAGGAATTACACACTATGGCATTTGAGACATCTAATTTATGTGCTTTAATGCAAGCAGCTGTCATTCTGCATTTGGTATTTAGGAAATTTAGACATACAGTTTTTTACTTTTTTTTTTTTTTTTTTTAAATGCTGCTTAATTTTTAGCTTTAAAAATAGAGGTGAAGCTTTTGGACTTCTGACTTCATCAGACTGAGAGAACTGTGACATTTTCTCTTGCACCTGAGTTCCACACTGAATGTTTGATTTCTTCCGTCATTTATGAGTGCTCAGACTCTTATCCTCATTTAAAAAAAAGAGGGGGGGAGTGGAATCTTTATGGCCTAGCAAAATGTGTGCCATCTAATGCTTTTTATGATTTCTTTAAAACTAGATTGTTAAGGCTTAAAAACTTTATTAAGGCACTCAAATCTATTTATTTTGAAGGAGTTTTAGACATTCCCATGATCAGCTGGGTTGTAATGCTGGTGTCCAGACTACTGGATTACGTAGCTACTGTTGAAGATGAAGCAGCCACAGCCAAGAAACCTCTGAATGGAAAAGAGAGGGAACGATTTTTGACAGGTATGTAACACTTGTTATCCAAACTTGCTCCTATGGGTATTGGTTTGGGAGCTCTTCAAATACTTTAAATGTATGTTCCAATTGACTTGAAAAATGAGATTTTAGAAACAGATGTTGTGATTGTTTTATTTGCACTGTTGTCTGCTTCTTTACTCCCCTTCTCTTTAGAAATAGACCTCATTTTTTTGAAGTAAAAAATACAGGATTGATTTTAGTTTATAGAATGTCTGTATATTATCCTGTGACTACGGGACCTGGCAATTGAGAGTACACCATGTTGAGACAGTTTGATATTGTGAGAAAGGGTAACAGTATGACTTTATAACTGCTTTGGTATTTGCCATGATATTTGTATCCCAATACTTTTAAATGCATTTTTTGTCTGTTTAGTATTATTTAAGTGGATTAGCTATGGTTTTCTTTGAACATCCTTTCTAAAAATGAAAACTGTAAAGCTTTTGTGTTATGGAAGCTGTTCAGGTATTTTTAGTTAGGGCAGTTTTGCTTATCTCCGTATATGTTTTGAAAATAATGAAAACAAAATGATACCACCGCATTTTAAAATTACACAGAAATATTACCATCAGTGGTGATGGTTGCATAACACTAAGAGTTAGATCTTGCTTGCTTCTTTAGTGTTTAGTGTATGGAGATGATAACCATTACTGCAATGTAAATGCTTTTCTCTGGAGTTAAGTGAGGTTTAATAAGATGGATTAATATGTCCTTTTTGTTTTTTCCTATTTCCATTAGGAAACCAGTGGAGTTTTATAAATAACAGCCTTCACACTCAGAGTCTGAGCAGATCTACTAAAGGCAACAGTAGCCTAGATAGACTGTATTCCCGAAAGATCAGAAAACAGCTTGTGCATCATAAACAGGTGACTTCCAGCACGGTAGTGACTATTTTCACAGAAGTATATCTCATTTCTTGAAAGAACAGCTTTAGCCTTGGGACTCATTCAGCCTTGCTTTTGCATAGGTCTGGTTCTGTAGCTAAAGGCTGCCTAACTTCTTTGATATTCATCTTAAACCATGGGGCATGGGATCTGCTGGAAGAACAGATGATGGAGTGTAGTGTTGCACTCTGTGGCCCATATTGGACAAAAAGTATAATTTACTTGCTAGATAAATCTGGGTACACCTGACTACAAGCACCTAAGCTGTGATTTAAAAGTTGGTAATTATTAAGACACAATATTTTCATTTCTAAATGCAACCATGCAGCTTTTATGGCCCTGGGCATGTATGTCTTGAGCTCCTTTAAAAATGCTGTTTCTTCTTAAACTTCATCTATTCTGGGTCTGCTAGTAGTCCCTTATGGTGTCTTAGTTAAAATTGTAGATAAACTGTATTTTAAAAGCTCAAGTTACAATTTGAACTGAGGATTACTATCATATGAACATACTGATCCTTTTAACATCTTATTGCTTAAATTTTCATTTTTTCCTATTAACATTTTCTTTTAGCAACTTAACTTATTAAAAGCAAAACAGAAGGCTTTGGTGGAACAGATGGAAAAAGAGAAAATACAAAGCAACAAAGGATCATCATACAAACTTTTAGTAGAACAGGCAAAACTAAAGCAGGCTACTTCAAAGGTATGATGCTCTGAAAATGTAACTGACTTCTTGTCCTTTGTGTGAAAAGACCTGTTCCTGCAAAGGCATTTTTGTCCTACGTTGACCTTATTTTAAAAAGTTGTTTCATCATGGCTGCTATCAAGTATGTTGTGATCCTGAAAACAGCAGCCATCTGGAAATTTCTTGCACTGTGAAAACTAGTTTATCCTTCTACAGGGTTTTTTTAGGTAGTCATGGCCAAAATCACTACTAATCTTGTAGCTTTGGGAATGCCAGTCATATCTTTAAACTTTGGATAGTATATACCAATAGAAATGTAAAATAATATTTTATATGGCTAACTTTTATGCATGATACTCTTCTGGATGCTCTCCTGGTTGAGTAATCAGAAGAAAATCATGCCAAAGACTGTCTCCCCAAAATAATAAATACAACTTTTGAGAATGTTTTTTGAGCTTTCTCAGAAGCTCTTTGCTTCCTAAAAGTACTTGCCATGTAAGCTGTGGCATCTTGCAGTAAGCCCTAGATACTGAGAGTGGATGTGGTAGTTAAAGAATTATTTTGATTATGAGATGAGGTGCTGAAATTTAGGGATTTCTAGAGATGGCACTATGGACTTTGCAGGGAATG